CATCACGCCAGTCGGGAGATGCACTGCTCGCGTCGAGATCCACGGTGAAACGTGCCCTGTGAAGTTCGTCGTTCTACAAGACTGTTCGAGGGACGTTATCCTCGGAATGGACTTTCTCTGCGAGTATGGCGCCGTCATCGACCTCGGGGCAAACCAGTTGACGCTGCGGAAACCTGTTTTACCGCCGGTAGAGACCAACACAACATCAACCGCGATCCGAGTTATCGCCGACCATGTGAACCTACCGCCGCGGTCGAGTGTTTTCGTCACCGTTATGGCCGACGCCGCCATGCACGGTGAAGCTCTTCTGGAAGGCAGCGTCCAACTGCTCCTCGAAAAAGGAATTGGCGTCGCAAGAGGCGTAACGGATCTCCAAGAAAGACGTACAACTGTTCTTGTGACGAATTTTCGAGAGGAGCCGCAGCACCTAACGAAGGGTACCACCGTGGGCCACGTCGAGGAGCTTCAAGCGCCAGCGGTGGTCACCGCAATCTCCGAGGAAACCTCGTCGCCACAGCAGAAAACCACGACGCCGCCGCCGCTCGACATTGACCCCGAGCTCCCAGCTACGAAGCGCCGGCAACTGATTGATCTCCTTGCCGAATACAGTGACTGTTTTGCCACGACATCAAAGATTCGCCAAACACCAATGGCGAAACATCGCATTGTTACCGACGACGACGCACTTCCTGTCCACCAGTCGCCGTATCGGGTCTCCTTAAAGGAAAGGGAAGTGATTCGAGATCAAGTCCAGGAGATGCTCGACGACGACATCATTCAACCCTCAAGGAGCCCATGGGCGTCCCGAGTCGTCCTTGCAAAGAAGAAGGACGGAACCCTGCGGTTCTGCGTGGACTATCGTCGACTGAACGCCGTGACAAAGAAGGACGTCTATCCGCTCCCCCGCATCGATGATACGTTAGACCGACTGCGCCACTCCCGATATTTTTCGTCGATGGACCTGAAGAGTGGTTATTGGCAGATTGAAGTCGACGAACGTGACCGGGAGAAAACTGCCTTCGTCACTCCCGACGGACTATACGAATTCAAAGTGATGCCGTTCGGACTTTGTACAGCACCAGCCACCTTCCAGCGCGTCATGGACACCGTGCTGGCAGGTCTGAAATGGCAGAGCTGCCTCGTCTACCTGGACGATGTCGTGGTATTCTCACGAGATTTCGACGAACACCTCAGACGACTTCGAGCCGTGCTTCAAGCTATCAAGACCGCCGGCCTGTCACTCAAGCCAACAAAGTGTCGGTTCGCCTATGGGGAACTAAAGTTCCTTGGCCACGTCGTGAACAACAAGGGTGTTCTACCTGACCCCGAGAAGACCCGCGCCGTAGCTGCATTTACGCCGCCGTCTGACAAGAAGGCCGTGAGAAGATTTCTCGGACTCTGTGCCTACTACAGGCGCTTTGTTCGAGACTTCGCCAAGCTATCCGCACCGCTGACACACCTCACGAAGGACGCCGTAAAGTTCGAGTGGACAGAAGAACACCAGAGGTCATTCGACGAGCTCAAACAAAGACTCCAGACGCCCCCGATTCTTGGCCATTTCGACCAGTTTGCTGAAACCGAGATCCACACCGACGCCAGTAACACCGGACTGGGTGCGGTACTAGTCCAAGTGCAGGACGGAGCGGAGCGAGTTATCGCATACGCAAGTCGGACGCTGTCTAAAGCGGAGAGGAACTATTCAACGACCGAAAAGGAGTGCCTCGCTGTCGTATGGGCAATAACAAAGTTTCGCCCATATTTGTATGGAAGTTCTTTTCGCGTAGTCACAGACCACCACTCGCTCTGCTGGCTGGCGAATCTGAAGGACCCCTCTGGACGCCTCGCTCGGTGGAGCCTACGACTGCAGGAGTTCGACATGGCCGTGGTGTACAAGCCCGGCCGGAAGCACAATGACGCCGACTGCCTGTCAAGGGCCCCAGTCGAGGCCGGTCCTGCCTGCACCAAAGAGGACGACGATGAGTGTTTCCTCGGCGCTCTGGATGTAAGCGACATGGCAGCACTCCAACGAGACGACCCTGAGCTGCGAGCACTCATCGAACACCTAGAGGGGCAAGAAAGCGCCGTTCCCCGCGGTTTTGTTCGAACACTGCCAACCTTCTCCATCCGACAAGGCGTACTGTACAAGGAGAACTTCAGCGACAGCAACACGGCGTGGCTGTTGGTGATCCCTTCCAGTCTTCGAGAAGAAATTTTTCAAGCCTGCCACGATGACCCGACGGCGGGACACCTTGGTTACAGCAGGACTCTTGCGAGGATACGCGAAAGGTACTACTGGCCCAAGCTTGCGAAGACAGTACACCACTACACCCGATCTTGCCACGAGTGTCAACGAAGGAAGAAGCCACCGACGAGACCGGCAGGACTTCTTCAGCCTATTGCGCCGCCATCTGCCCCATTCCAGCAAATCGGTATGGATTTACTCGGACCTTTCCCACCGTCGACGCAAGGAAACCGATGGATAATCGTCGCAACCGATTATCTCACGCGGTACGCCGAGACAAAAGCCCTTCCATCAGGAACGGCTGTTGAAGTCGCCAAGTTTTTCATTGAGTCCATTGTCCTTCGGCACGGCGCTCCCGAAGTCCTGATCTCAGACCGTGGATCATCATTCATGGCCCAGCTGACGCAAGAAGTCCTTCGTCTCAGCCACACCAGCCATCGTCGCACCACGGCGTACCACCCGCAGACCAACGGGCTGACGGAGAGACTCAACAAAACCATCGCCGACATGATCTCCATGTACGTCGACGTGGAGCACAAGACATGGGACGAGGTGTTGCCGTACGTCACATTTGCCTACAACACGGCCGTACAAGAGACCACCGGAGTGACACCCTTTCAACTGGTGCATGGGCGCAAAGTAACGACCATGCTGGACGCGATGCTGCCCCATGAGCCAGCTGACAGTGAGAGCGACGACGCCCAGGTGGTTGCCAACGGGCCGAAGAAGTCCGCCAGCTCGCCCGACTCAGGATTCAAGACCAGCAACGCGCCGACGCGGGCCGCTACAACCTTCGTCGCAGGGACGTTCACTTCCAGCCCGGAGACAGGGTGTGGGTTTGGACGCCCATCCGTCGCCGCGGCCTCAGTGAGAAACTGCTGAAACGGTACTTTGGACCATACAAGGTACTTCGTCGCCTCGGCGAGCTGAACTACGAGGTGATGCCCGACGGAACACGAACATCGTCACGCCGCCCACCACGACCTGAGGTCGTCCACGTCGTGCGCCTGAAGCCGTACTACGCTCGATAGGACTGTGGACCTTTTGTGCTCCAAAAGACTCTTTACTTTATCGTTCTTTTTTATTTCGATTTGTTTTACACTGCATCGGGGCGATGCACTTTTAAAGGGGGGAGTAATGCCGCGCGCAAGGCTGAGAAAGAAACGCTCGGTCATGGTCCTCCAGAAAGTTCCCGTTTATTCATGTACCGCACGTAACTTCTATCATTTGTCCCTGCTTTTGTTTTCTAGAAAGTACGTGTTCATTCTCGCCCCGATCACGCGACGCTCGAACCGCTTTCGCCGAATCTTCGAGATAGCGGCGCACTCTAGATAAGAGGCCGCCCGCGACCTTGTCGAGTCAGTCTCGCCCTAGCGCTCGATTCTGCTGACACGCCGACTTCGACGCCCGCGACGCTCTGCTTTCTTCTGTCTCCTTCTTTATTTTTGGCACAAGTTCGCCACATTAAACGTTTATTTATTCCTGTTTATTTCTTGTTTATTAGTCACCACCCGTGACAATATTTTCGAGCAAGCACTGTTTTTTTTTCATCGAAAAAGTCCTGCATACTTCCCAGTTTTAAAAGATAAACACCAATAAACACTCGCCGGTGACGGAAATAAAAATAGTTAAAAAAAGCAACGTTTCTTTTTTGTTTCACAGAAAAGGTTTTCCGCAAACTTCAGTTAAACACATGATCTTACCCGGAATAATGCACTTTCCCTGTCCTTCTTTTGTCGCCTACGCGATCTTGGAGCCTCGGAGGACAGTAGCTTTGTTCCACTGTTCTCCAAGGTCAGCGGTCCTCCTGGGCCGCCGAGCTAGAAGATCACTATCAGTGGCCCGAGAGGCGAGTCAAAGGTGACCAGTTCTGTCCCAAGCCTCGCGCGACGTTTTGGGACTTCGCGTGTCCAGTGCAAATGTTGAGCGGGCATTCCGTCAACAGGAAGGAGCGGGCGTCAGTGACAGACACGAGCCTAGGAATGTATGCATGCATATACTGCAATAATGAAGTGTGTAAGAGGTTGTGTAAAAGATGTAAATTAAATTTGGACTGTTTTTCGTCTTGATCGGTGGTTTACATTCGCAATTTTCCCCCGATAATCACCGTTTTTACCGTCTTCATGAGAGAATTCACCGAAAAGCACCGGTTTTGGTGAAATAAATAAACACCGATGAACATCCGCCGATTTTTGTTATAAATAAACACCGGAAAGTATGCACTCTACCCATAAAAGCCACTGTGTTGGCAGCCGGCGCTTCTGGTGCCGAATGTGTCACGCGACCACCGACTGACGAGATCAGACGAGGCCCGTGAGGAGAGCAGATCAGGACCAGATAAGGCCGCCCACCGCCGCGCCTTGCGCGCCTTTGATTAATATACGGACACCATAGGAAACACAAGAACCTTTGTGCAGTGCCGCGGAATCCTAGCGTGACGAAACGCTGTTGCCGCGGCCATGTACTACGAAGTGCGCCCTGGTACATTTTTCTGTGGCAGGTCAGGACTACAGTAGGTTGTGCGCGAAAACACACCTTTAGAGTTTAGTGCACCGAACAAATTCTTTAGCGCATTCTTTTCTTGTGCCGACGTATTGTCGACGAGTCCGAAGAAGACGAAGCGTGGTAGCCAGCCACAAGGAGACAACACGTGGCAGAATCAAAGAAGCGGAAGACGAAGTCACCGACGTGAATACCACGGCCGGTAAGACTCAGTGACCGGGGCCCCTTCAACACCTCCAAGCCTCCAAGATCCCTCCGACGCGTTACCCCAATGGCCGAGAAGGAACCGCTTTATTCGCCCTTCTTCGGCGTCATGGGCGTCGTCGGGGCCATGGCGTTCAGCGCGCTGGGAGCCGCGTACGGCACAGCCAAGTCCGGAGCGGGCATCGCCGCCATGGCCGTCATGCGTCCAGAACTCATCATGAAGTCTATCATCCCGGTCGTCATGGCGGGTATCATAGCAATCTACGGCCTGGTGGTGTCCGTGCTCATCGCCAGCGACATCAAGGAAGGCTACAGCCTGTTCAAGTCCTTTCTGCACATGGGAGCGGGGCTCAGTGTCGGTCTCAGTGGGCTCTCGGCGGGATTCGCCATCGGAGTCGTGGGTGACGCTGGCGTTCGCGGAACAGCGCAGCAGCCCAGGCTGTTTGTGGGCATGATCTTGATTCTCATCTTCGCCGAGGTCCTTGGTTTGTACGGTCTCATTGTGGCCCTCATCATGTACTCTCGGGGTAGCAGCTGAGTGAAATTCTGTGTGATCGTACTAGGTGTACCCTTTCTTTGTTTTAATGTGTCCCGAGAGCAGGCCACGAGAATGCAAGGTGTAACATCGATAAAACTTGTTGTTCATGTTTCCACGTGAGGCATTCACGGTATTCTGTTTGGGTTTGAAGACCCTGCTATCCAGGTGATGTCTCGGGGGCTTGGATAGGCTTCATTTCTGTTTTTCTTTTCTCAAAATAATCTAAACGAGACCTTTCGTCATGATGTTGTGGGACAGTCCAAAACAGTTGAAGTTAATTTCCTGTTTCTGCCGCATACCATGTTAAGAGGTCAATGTGCTTGTGTCAGTCCCACTTGAGAGAAAATAAAGGGCTTATGGGCGCTTTAATAGCGTGCTAGATGATAGTGTCGTTTAAGAGCCGAGTCGCATTGATTTGGTCTGATATGTTTTCTCAGGTGTTATCACGTTGTTTGCGAGGAACGTTTTAAGAATTTCAAATTACAGCAGGCGACTCACAATAGAGAATGTGAGACTGTGTGTAAAATGTATGCGTGTTAGAGTGGCAGTGATTTCCACTCAGACTCTAAATTATTTGAAATCGTAAATGAAATAATATCTGTTCCAAGATTTACCAAGTGTATGTCGCTTAGAGTAGGGACCAGCAACCTTTTGCAGTAGAGGGTCAAATCACTGCAAAGCGAAAGAGATAGAGGGGGATCAACTTAAACAAAAAATAATAAAAGAAAACTCGCATACTGAAAGTGATGTGCAAATATGTTCTCTTGATTCAGATATGCGTAACGTAAGATTGCTCGAGTTCCCGCTCAGTAATATGGTATTGCGGACCGTCCCTGTGATGCCCGAGTCTCACTAGACCAACAAACAGAAACCACCGACAGCGACAAGCCTTAAACCAGAAACTTTCGTGATTTGATAGGCCTTGTAGAATCTATGCTCAAATGAGAGCACCATGTATGAGAGCGTATATTTGACAGTAGAGCAACTAAATGAGCTTATTTAGTGGCACTAATTGGCAGACTTGCAATCTTCACAAGCACCGAGCGACTAAACGCCTGCCAACAGTACATACCATCGGGAGCATACTGCATGTGTTGGAGGCTTGTCTGTGTCGCTTGTTTTCGTTTGTCACTCTAGTGGCACTCGGGCATAAGTGCGTCGTAATTCGAGCACGGGCTCGTAGGAGTACTTACATAACAGCACTTAAAGGAATGCTTCAAAGGCTCCGGTAGAGCAGTACGCGGAACACGGTAGCGGTTTGCTAAAAGTTCCTATTATAGGGATTATTTACTGGACGTCATATTTATGGGTGCTGTTTAGACCGCGTGCTCAAAACGAGCTCACATTAATTGGTTGCTAAAACCAGCAATCTTGATGGTGTGGAATGCACGGTGGAAAAGAACCGTCGAAGGTCGCCACGAGCAGGCGCTCAGCAGTCGTGCACTCGGCCATGAGTGCCAGTGAATATACTTCCTATTGGTGACGTAAATGATCGAAAGAGTCGCTGTGTTTGGCCTTCCACGATTGGCCGAATGCTGACTATGACGTCAGCAAAAGATTTCTGATTGACACATAAGAGTAATATGAGAACTTCCATTTTGACGCCGTTTCCCAGTGTTGCTTTCATAGCGCAATCATTTGAAGCTTGGACCACGCTCTTTACAAACACCAGCAAACTTGTTTGCAACATAATAACGTCACGAGAGGATATCGTAGGAAGGCGCCATCAAAACATCTCCCCGCTAATAGAGCTTTAGCACATCGTTACGGTACGCGCGGTACAAGACCGGTATTCCGGTACGACCTACCGAATATTGTCACGAATGAAGGTGACGAAAAGCCGAACAGTGAACTGAAAATAAAGATTTAATGGGCGAACTTGTGCCAACCAAAAATAAATAACGAAAGAGCGTCGAGGTAGCAGAAAAGCGGGCGGCGGTTCGGCGGCACTACAGAGCGCTAGCGAAACTGGGACTGACTCGACAAGGTCGCGGGCAGTTGCTTATCTACCGTGCGTCACTATCTCGAAAGTTCGGCAAGGAAGGTTCGAGCGTCGCGCTCTCGGGGCGAGGATGAACTGGCACTTTCGAGAATAACAAAGCAGAAGGAAAGTTACGTCTGCTGCGAGAATGACCGGGAATCTTCTAGAAGACCGTGACCGAGCGTTGCCTTCTCGGCTCTGCGGGTGGCATTATCCCCCCTTTAAAAGTGCATCGCCCCGATGCAAAACGAAAGGAAAACGGAAATGGCTAAAACAATTACGGCGAAACAAAACAAACATGCAGTTTCACAATCCTAACGCGCGTAGAACGGCTTGAGTCGAACTACGTGGACGACTTCGGGTCGTGGCTGGCGGCGTCTTGATGGGCGAGTTCCGTCGGGGAGCACCTCGTAGTTGAAGTCCCCAAGGCGGCGGATGACCTTGTAGGGTCCGAAGTAGCGTTTTAACAGTTTCTCGCTGAGGCCGCGGCGGCGAATGGGCGTCCACACCCATACCCTGTCTCCGGGCTGGAACTCCACGTCGCGGCGGCGAAGGTTGTACCGGCCAGCGTCCACACGTTGCTGGTCCTTTATTCGAAGACGGGCTAGCTGGCGTACTTCTTCTGCTCATTGGGTGACCAACTGGGCGTCGTCGGTGCCGTCGTTCGTCGGTGCCGTCGTTCGTCGGGTCGTCGAGCATTCGGTGCCGTCGTTCGGGTGCCGTCGTTCGTCGAGTTCGTCGAGCACGGCGTCGAGCATCGTCGTCACCTTTCTGCCGTGCACCAAATCGAGATCATGTCGGCGATGGTCTTGTTCAGTCGCTCCGTCAGCCCGTTGGTCTGCGGGTGGTATGCCGTGGTGCGGCGGTGGTCGAGGTCTGCGACGACTGGAGGTCCATTGTTGACCTCGTTGGTTGCTTGATCTTGGTTGGCAGAAATCCGAGTTCCGGGGGTAGCTCTTGGTTGCGGCGACTTGATCGGGTCTTGCTTGTGTCTTCGTTGGGTCTTCGTGGGCTTGGTGTCGGACTTGCACTGCGGGCCCTTGGAGGAGTACGCTGCAGGGACATGCGTTACCCCGCACCTCCACCAGAAATGTCACGAATGAAGGTGACGAAAAGCCGAACAGTGAACTGAAAATAAAGATTTAATGGGCGAACTTGTGCCAACCAAAAATAAATAACGAAAGAGCGTCGAGGTAGCAGAAAAGCGGGCGGCGGTTCGGCGGCACTACAGAGCGCTAGCGAAACTGGGACTGACTCGACAAGGTCGCGGGCAGTTGCTTATCTACCGTGCGTCACTATCTCGAAAGTTCGGCAAGGAAGGTTCGAGCGTCGCGCTCTCGGGGCGAGGATGAACTGGCACTTTCGAGAATAACAAAGCAGAAGGAAAGTTACGTCTGCTGCGAGAATGACCGGGAATCTTCTAGAAGACCGTGACCGAGCGTTGCCTTCTCGGCTCTGCGGGTGGCAATATCAGTATCGCAAGGGGCTCAGAAATCAGCTTTAGCAAACCATGCTAGATGACAACGTTCCGCAGGAACGTGTAGTACGTGCAGCTTCGAGCATACTAATGTGATACGTTCCGCAACTAGGAATAAAAAAAAAAATCGTTCAGTTAAACCAAATAGAAAACTATGATCTGAAGGAAAAAAAGGAATCTTAATGAATACTTTCTTTGTGTATTTCTAATAGATTTTATACCTACATGAATTGGACAAATAATTCTGAAGCGTCGATGTAGTGCTTAATTATAATCACAAGTAGCAAAAAAGAAACGCGAAAATTGTGATGCTAAGCAATTTAACGGGAAAAGTAATTAGTTCAAGGTAACGACAATGAACAATTTTTGCTAAAAATGACTATAAAAAAGTGTGCTAATTGATTCTCTGCTGCTAGAATCTTTGAGCTGGGACGATATTGAGAAGGTACTCCTGCTCGAAGAGTATGAAGAACCGCTCTCGAAGCGTTAATTCTATGGCCACTTCAAACTGGTACAAAAACGCAAATCAAAATATACGAAAACCTGTCCGAAATGAGTCTAATATAAGCAGAGTAGTTGTTTGGGCGAGTTGGTTTGACATCTTATGCAATCTTGTGCGCAGCAAGGACGAGGACAAAAGGGGAGAACAAGGACACAACAAGCCGTAAATGAGAATCGAACGTTTGCATTTCGAGCGGATGGCTATATTTTTTGTCTCAAGCGTCCGATTCTAGCGAGCGATTCGAAATAGGTCATCGAGGCGTGCGATGCGTTATGGGAACTCCATCGAAATCGTGAGGTCAGGCTCCTTAGCACAGCCAAAGACTGGCGTGATTATGAGCGCCGCCACATGGTGGCTTTTGCATGTTGCAATATCGCGTTTCGGGGTGGCGGTGGACTGCCCAGCTGCACGACGACCGTCCTGACGTATTCATTTCGGCCCTTGCAGTCCGCGGTGCGTTCCACAAGGATCTATGAACTTGAGAGGACGAGGATTTCGACTACCAAAGGGACTTGGAAGATGTCAGCGAGGACGATTAGTCACTCTCGCACATGGTGACGGTCAGGAGGCTCGGGCTAGAAGCGTACGAACCATCCGACAGACCGACCGTCCACCCGACAAAATTTGAAGAAGGTCGGGGTCGCCAAGAAATACCTCGCATTGAATTGAATAATGATTGGACAACTCGGAGGTATGCGCTATTAGGTGTTTTATTAACAGCGTGCTCACTTATCCGGTTGGTTCGCTTTTCGTGCTATTCACTGAGCTCTTCTAGATTTTTTTTCTTGGAGAAACAAAACAATAGTCGGCGGAACTCCTGGTAGCGAGCGAATATTATTGGTAGGAACACTCAAACTCTTGAGCACAGTGAATCGCCTTTTATAGTCCTTATCGCGGAAATGGTCACCGTACAGGCGATCAGGCGCCCGAGAGACGACGGACGCGTGAGACGGATCCACACGCTTCGGAATTTCTCCGATTGTTCGGAAACCCGTGGGTCTGCGTCTCGCAGTTCAGCACGCTGTTGCCGCAGTTTCCTG